TGCACGCAGACTGAAGTAGTTTAAGTCTTTGGTTCTTTTAATTGTGATGATTTTGGTTCACATTTAACAAAAACCCACCAATTCACTATCTCAACTAATTAGAATATGGTGACATGCCAATCAGCTAATCAACTCAAAACACCTGCAAAGGTTTCCTGAGCCTTCAAAATGGTCTCTCAGTTTGGTTCACTAGGCTATACAATCATGGGGAAGACTGCTGATCTGACAGTTGTCCAGAAGACAATCATTGACACCCTTCACAAGGAGGGTAAGCCACAAACATTCATTGCCAAAGAAGCTGGCTGTTCACAGAGTGCTGTATCCAAGCATGTTAACAGAAAGTTGAGTGGAAGGAAAAAGTGTGGAGGAAAAAGATGCACAACCAACCGAGAGAACCGCAGCCTTATGAGGATTGTCAAGCAAAATCGATTCAAGAATTTGAGTGAACTTCACAAGGAATGGACTGAGGCTGGGGTCAAGGCATCAAGAGCCACCACACACAGACGTGTCAAGGAATTTGGCTACAGTTGTCGTATTCCTCTTGTTAAGCCACTTCTGAACCACAGACAACGTCAGAGGCGTCTTACCTGGGCTAAGGAGAAGAAGAACTGGACTGTTGCCCAGTGGTCCAAAGTCCTTTTTTCAGATGAGAGCAAGTTTTGTATTTCATTTGGAAACCAAGGTCCTAGAGTCTGGAGGAAGGGTGGATAAGCTCATAGCCCAAGTTGCTTGAAGTCCAGTGTTAAGTTTCCACAGTCTGTGATGATTTGGGGTGCAATGTCATCTGCTGGTGTTGGTCCATTGTGTTTTTTGAAAACCAACGTCACTGCACCCGTTTATCAAGACATTTTGGAGCACTTCATGCTTCCTTCTGTTGACCAGCTTTTTGAAGATGCTGATTTCATTTTCCAGCAGGATTTGGCACCTGCCCACACTGTCAAAAGCACCAAAAGTTGGTTAAATGACCATGTTGTTGGTGTGCTTGACTGGCCAGCAAACTCACCAGACCTGATCCCCATAGAGAATCTATGGGGTATTGTCAAGAGGAAAATGAGAAACAAGAGACCAAAAAATGCAGATGAGCTGAAGGCCGCTGTCAAAGAAACCTGGGCTTCCATACCACCTCAGCAGTGCCACAAACTGATTACCTCGATGCCACGCCGAATTGAGGCAGTAATTAGAGCAAAAGGAGCCCCTACCGAAGAAGTTGAGTACATGTACAGTAAATGAACATATTTTCCAGAAGGCCAACAATTCACTAAAAATGTTTTTTTTATTGGTCTTATGGAGTATTCTAATTTGTTGAGATAGTGAGTTGGTGGGTTTTTGTTAAATGTGAGCCAAAATCATCACAATTAAAAGAACCAAAGACTTAAACTACTTCAGTCTGTGTGCATTGAATTTATTTAATACACAGGTTTCACAATTTGAGTTGAATTACTGAAATAAATGAACTTTTCCACGACATTCTAATTTATTGAGATGCACCTGTATATTCACACTTATAATTTTAAAAACAAAAGCATGTCAAATAAATATTATAGTTTAAAACGATTTTTAAAATTGATTTCAAAATTATTTTAAATATTATTATACATTTTCTACACATTTAAATTGAATTTAAAAGAAGGAGATAATATTAAATATTAACAGCTGACCTGTATAATAGATTATACAGTGAATATGATCACCCAAGAAGCACCAAGAATTCCTAAACACCGATGATGACTATGAAAACATTTCTGAGTGGCTTGTAATTTTAAATCCATTTACACTGACACTACCAAGACGATCCAAATCATTCTTAGAAAGTTGTCAAAACCTCATCTGTATTAAGCCAGCTAGATAATTTTAGCTTTAAAAGTCAAGTTTAAAAAGTTGACAAGCAAAGTTAGCAACCAAATGGTACAGAAAAGCAAATGTGTAAAAATGCAAATGCATGATCAAAACATATAAGATATAGTGCAGAATCAATAGAGCAAGCGGTCCTTCCCAACCTTACTGCTGAGCCCTGAGCTTGGCTTCAAGACTGATTCAGTGCTTTCATAGGCTACTTCGTGGTTTGTCATTTTAAAGATGAACCTTCTTACACATGACGAGCCTAGTCTGTTACAATCATCGAGCCGTACAAAAATTGTCTTAATTATGTCACCACACAGTGCCTTTGACTGAGCACTCACAGCTAGACTACACCTGTGATGAAAGCCAGGCGATCCAGCTAGCCAAATTAATCTAGATGTTCTGGTTCAGTATGCCTGGCTGAAGCCCCTTTCTGTGTAAGCACTTGTTCAGGAAAGCATCCACCACCCTTCCCCTGCCCTTTAATTCATTTCTGAGAGGAAAGCCTGTGCATCATTATTCGCTTGAGCTCAAATGGGCAGACACCGGTGAGAGAGCCTGATCAAGTTGGTGGGGCAAAGGGAAGAAAGAGGAGGAGGAGAAGGAGAAGGAGGAGGAGGAGGAGGAGGGGGTACTCTTGGCAGAATTTCCCTACAAATCAGATGCCAAGAGTGAAATGGAAACCTCCCCTCATTTTCCTTTCCCCTTAATCCAATGTTTTCAAGCCCAAGCCCAGCCAAGGTCATTATAATCATAGATGAGTGGAAAGGAGCCAGTGACCCACCATTACGGTAAGGTGGAGAGCCACCCAGTCGCACACACTCTGCCATCGCTCTGTAATGGAGAGCTGAAATCCGTGCAATGCTCCAATTCCTCCATTTGCAAATGCAGATAACCTTAAAGATCTTGTGTGTATAATGGAAATGGCTGGCTCCCATAGGGAGACATTTTAGCTGATGGCAAAGGTCAGGGTGAAAGAATGATACGGGCTATGTTCTTGCACAAAATGGAGGCCTGCGAGTAAGACAAAGAACAGCAGAAAAGGAGAAAAAGAGGCAACGTCAGTCGACCTCCACACCTCGGAGTGGAAATCTGAGGAAAACAGCTTAACGAGATGGGAACATTTTAACCTAGGCTCCCTTTTCACGATTCATTTACTGGAAGTTTGCTGAACTGTGACCTGCGGTTTGAACAAAATTTATGAATTCTGGCAAAAGGAGTGCGCAACAGTGTTATAAAGGCCGTGCTTTTGTAATCCCAGTGGTTTTCATTGTAGCACTAAAGCTAAAGGTCATATTTAACTGTCAAGAAGATCATCTGACTGTATCAAGGCCTTAATGCCCTCTTGCACGTCTTGACCCGTGCACATCGTGACGCAAGCGCTCCTGAACTCAGATATGTATTCTCAAGAAAAGGAAGTGAAAGATACAGTTGCAAAAGGATATGACATAGCCTTTACATAGACTTACGTGAAGGCAGGCGCTTGGGTTGCTCCTGTTTCCTCCTTGGCATTTTCCTCTTTTTATCACATTCTCCTTCTTGTTTAGGGATAAGAAGAAAAAATGTATTTTCCCATTGAAATTTTGCGAGGGAGCCTGATGGCAGGGACTTGTCGTACACCTGGCTGTCCTCGGTTAAGTGTATTGTTGGGAACAGGGAAGAGTAGAGGAGGAGGTGCTGTTGTTGTTGCCGTGTCTTGACTATGGCTGCTCTCTGTAAGTGTGTCTCCGAGCCCCTAACTAACACTAATGCAGGGATCAAAGGGCAGCAACAGCAGAGCGCACACACACACACACACACACACTCGCGCGCACACGCACGCACACACACACACTCGCTCGCTCACTCACTCACTCACTCACTCTCTCGCTCACAGAGAGAGGAGCTCGCCCGACAGAGCAACGAGAAAGGGACAAGGTGCCCCCAAGCTTTCAGGGTGTATACTTGACTGACCACGTAGGATTTTTTAAATATTTATATAGAAAATGGATTCTGACTAATAACGGCTTGGGAAAAAAAATTTTTTATTTTTTTTTAGAAATGTTTTGAATCTGAGTTGACAGAAACCCCCAAATCACTGCAATTCATTTTAAGGTCGATTTATTGATATAAATGTAAAACGCTATTTAAAATAAACATGTTTATTTATTTATTTATTTTATTTGTTTTCTAAATGTTTGGTTGAATCAAATCAGCACACTTCCTTTTAATTGATGTATTGCTACAAATTTAAAATAGAATTTACAGTAACACTTTACGATAAGATCTCTTTGTTAACATTAGTATTACTTAAATACTAAAGTCTGTTTGATTACGTGTAATTTGTAACTAACTGCATGATTCTTACTGTACATTTCTGCCATAGTCACCACTAATAACCTACTCCTAAATGTAATGTAGAAACTTAATATTTTCTGTAAAGCTGCTTTGCAACGATTGGTATCGTGAAAAGCGCTCTACAAATAAACTTGAATTGAACCTAACATGAACTAACTATGAAAAATACTTTTAAGAGCATTTATCAATATTATTTGTAAATTTCAGTATTTACTAATACAATTTAATAAAAGCAAAAGTTGTATCTTTTAATTTTATTTAATCAACTTCAGCTACCATGAACTGATAAAATGTATTTTTATTAACTAACATTAATTAATGATTAATAAATGCTTTAACAAATGTATTGTTCATTGTTAGTTAATGAATTCATTAACATTAACTAATGGGACCTTATTGTACAAAATTTGTTACAAAAATGTTACAAAATGTACAATTATCAAATTTTTGTCATTTAAAGATTTTATTATTATTATTATTATTATTATTATTATTATACTGTAATATTCACAAATAGGTTATTCCATAGCACTTTTAAATAATGCTTCATTTATTAACATTAGTTAATTAGTTAACAAGAAATAACAATGTAAATTATTATTAACGTTCATTACAACATTTGCTAATACACAGTTGTATCTGTTAATATTATTCAATGGACTTGAGCTAACGTGAACTAACAATGACCAGTTTTATTATTATTATTAAAAATATTAATAAACACTGTAACTAATGTATTGCCCATTATTATGTAATGTTAGAAAATGCATTTAACTAATGGGACCTTATTGTAAAGTGTTAGTTACTGATATGTCTTTTTTTACTGTCAAATAAGTAAACACACACACACACACAATATATATATTCTGTTCTATGCATAGCACTGAAGCAGCCGGCTGTTCCCCACTCAGGGCTGGACTCCAGCAGGCTGCATGCTGTTGGACAAGTTCGTTCTTTCACACCTCTTTGGTGTTAGGAGGACTGTATCCTCCCTCATGCCATGCTGCCATCCTCCTCGCAACCATCCAGCTCGTTACCGTGGCAATTAGCACAGGCTCAAATTAGCCCACTTCGCCTCTGCACAGGTGACTGACACACACTTTGTAGCTCGCTCATTAGAATATGACTGCCTCGCCATTCTCTCATTGTCACCCCTTCAAGTCCACAGAGAGGCAGTTGAACTGAACACTTTTGGACTTCGCTGGTAGCGTTTACATGTGTACCATAGTAAAAACCATCAATTCTTTTCATAGGAGTCCAGTGTTATGTTTCCTATATTCGATTCTATGTGTCATTCCCTCATATCCTCAGATAATATATTTGATGTGTGATATTAGGATCTCACAAAATCTCTCCTGCATGTGTGTGCGCTGCTTGTTATTGTTTAAGATTAGTTTAGTCTCCATGGCGAGGTCACGGTCTGTTCTGTAACCCCGTCGATGCCAGGCAGCTGAGGTAATGCGTGCAAGCAGACAATCTGCTGATAGTAGTCATGGCAACAGCAGCATGACCTCACACTTGGTAGCAACCTAAAGGTCACCTAACAGACATCATGTTTTGATGGGCACTGTATCAACTGAAGCTGACAGTGACAAACATCTGCGAAAGAAAGGAGGCCGTTTCCATTGACATATCTGTTTCCATTTGATACCTTAACCCTTTTATTCACACTGCAGCCTTGCTATACAAATTACTCACAGACCTCAATTTAATCCACATGTATTTCATTCAATTTCAACCATACTTTGGAGCTACATATTGTACTTGTCAAATATTGTATTTATATTATAAAATTACCCTTACATTGTAATCATTCACAAGATGTAAGGGCTGTTTACTCACTGTGACTATATAACTGAATACATGTATTACTGCGAAATATGCACTGTAAAAAAAGTTACGGTCACACTTTATTTTAAGGTCCAATTCTCGCCATTAACAAGCAATTAACTATGACTTTTGCTTCAATAAACTTATAATTTGCTGCTTATTAATAGTAAAGCTAGTTGTTAAGTTTAGGTATGGCATAGGATTAGGGATGTAGAATATGGTCATGCAGAATATGAGCTTTATAAGTACTAATAAACAGCTAATGTGTTATTAACAGGCATGCTAATAAGCAACTACTTAATATTGGTTCCTATACTAAAGTGTTACCCAGCTATATTTACAAAGCACTCATATTTTCATAGAATAATTTTACGTTCATCTGCAATGCAGTTTATGGCATATGAATGCTATTTTGCTATTAAACATGCAAAATGACTTCCAAAAATAAAAATAATAGTTAGCCCCAGACTGTCCATCTCATTATATTTCTTGTGCGATATTGATGAGCATGATTGTTCTGCCGGTCTTTGAAATCAACTCATTTTGTCTGTTGGCATTATTACTACTTATTAAAATGGCTTCCCTGCAGCAGTGCAGGCTGTTAGTGAGCTAAATGAATTTCAGGTGCTTCAGTAGCGGATAAAGGAGGTTGGATAAAGAGGTATATCTCTCCCTGAGGCCAAGCATAGTGGTGTGGGTTACCTCTTTTTCAACTCGTTGCAGCCTCTTCCTCTTTGTTAGGATGTTGCAAGATTGTGTTAGGAACACTGAGAGGAGCAGGTCATTAGAGGACTAGTGACATGACAGGATTGTGTGACGGGTGAGAGAGGAAGCTTGAGTAACAGAGCACAAATAGTGTAAATATCACTTTTAACTACTAGGGTGGTTACTAAAAATGTTTGCCCTCTGCACTGCATATTCATACACTTACGATGCCATAAAATAAGTGTTGCTTTAAACATTTCACCTTAATGTAATCACTGTATATTTTTGGATGTGATGACCTGTGCTTCATGGCAGCAGGGATATTTTTGCACCATTAGAAGGTGTTAATTTAAACGTTGGTTGATAAACAGAGCCCTTGGTTCATTTAAAGATTGTCGTAATGAAACAATATAGGATTGGATCAGCCATTCCTTAACTCTTTTAAAACCAAAACAGTTTGAAACACTCAGTGGCTCTTGAAATAAATGTAAAACTCAGCAGTACAGAATTTGAAATGAATTTAAAAGCCAGTGATAACCTTTTTTGATAAATGGAAAAGAGCATTTGATAATTTTCTTTTTGTCCATTACAGAAATTTTAAATGCAAATGATTTTTGTAAATTTGTGGTCATATTAGCAACATTTTATAGGGAAAAAGGTCTATTGTGTAGCAATATTTCTGGCAATATTGTCAACTTGATTGCACAGATATTTGAACTGAAATGAGCTGGACGATGACGTCACTGAATCGATGAACTGACTTTAACTGGAAAATCGAGTGTTTACTATCGTCCTCTTGCATTATCGACAGTATTTTCCTGTTTAAAGGGGTCATATGATGCGATTTCAAGTTTTCCTTTCTCTTTGGAGTGTTACAAGCTCTTGGTGCATAAAGAAGATCTGTAAAGCTGCAAAGACTAAAGTCTCAAATCCAAAGAGATATTCTTTATAAAAGTTAAGAGTCGTTTGAGAGAGGCGGGGCATAGAGGACCTACAATAATGTACAGTATTTGAAAAATAATGTGCTTTTTGAACATTAAAGCATGTCAACATATTCTGTTACACCAAATACACAAAATAATGATCTTTAAAATAGCATCATATGACCCCTTTAATAAAGCTGCTTTGACACAATCTGTATTACATAAAGCACTATATAAATAAAGGTGACTTGACTTAACTTGAAGCACAGCTCACACAGAAGTCACTTTCAAACCCAGCAGTTTTTCTGTTGATCAACAAGGTGAATTTGTGTAAAACCTTAGCAAAATCATTCAAACTCACAATATCTTTATCTATAAATATTAAATGTTCTGGCTAGCAATTGAATCATACAGTATACTGAATCTGAGGTTATGTCCAATACATTTTGTAAGGTATACAAATAGGTTATTCACATAGGAATGTCAAAAATGCGATATCAATGCGATATTCCTGATCCTGGTTACTGATCCGTACTGACATGGCTGGACTTCGCCTACGAAAATTCACAGAACAACAGTGAGGGTGACCAACCCTTAAGGCACAACTCAGCCATATTTAGTATGTGTGATTTCTGTCAGAGCATTTTACACACACACACACACACACACACACACAAAACACCATGCTGTCCTTAATTGTGAAACCTAATTATCACAGACAATTATTATTATTATTATTAATTTTTTTTGCAAGGTTGCATTCGAAATACACTTGACTCTAAAATCTGAGAGGGCACGTGCTTCTGTTTGTCTATTATTGCCATGGGACACGGGTCTTTCACACATCTAACACTAGTAAACTCTTTGTGTATTGAAGTTTTTCCTAATTAGCCTGTGAACATAGTATATTGTTGACTACAATTTAAC